CTTTATTGTAGTTTAACGTCTAGCCGATTAATACTTTGTATATCAGTAGTACAGCTAAAATGAACACAGAGGCATATATAGTGTCTCGACAAGTGGCTGTTCAAAAGCATAAGCCTTGTTAACAGAATCACAACAGAAAGTAGAATAAAAAAGGGGATGGGGGTCCATAGCAACTGAATAATTTGACATGCATATAGTCCACCAATCGGAAGACATCATTTAAATGTTTTCATGCTAAAGTAAAGTCTGGACCACTATTGCTACTATGCTCCTCTAAGCCCCATGACACATGTGATGCTGCACGGACAGCACGGACCTTATGTGACATAAAAAGAACTAAAACAAAAAAAGAGGCAAAAGAAAAAAACAAAAAGTAAAACAAGTGCCTGCACAGCACGTCCTTCAGAATATAAGTGATACTTCTTTAAAACCCAAAACCCATATTTTAAGCATAGATATTAAATAAAGAAGTAAAATAGTAATAATATATACATGCTGTCAAGGCTAAAAGATAAAAGAAAACCGAAAAAGGAATAAGAAAAAAACCGAATTTTATAATATATTATCAAACTATCATAATAAAAATAATAAAAAAGAACAGCAACTCATGATTGAGACGTCATGAGTTTTATAAAAAAAAAACACCTATCCAAACAGAACGCGTCAAAACAACTCTCTTCCACATACCATTAATACTTTATACACTTCTTTACTGCTCTCTCACAAACTGCTTTAATCAACATAGACGTTAAAGACGAATCATGACCAATACAAATCCATTTTGCTAGTCAAATCTCAGGCTTTTATCATATGTAAAACAGTCAGTAGCAAGATATAAGACAACATGTCAAAGCCAGTACACAGCAAAAATGAAATACTGAGGTCCAACACTGGTTTGACCATCAATCCATCCAAAGCCTATTCACGCTCAGAAACAAGATATAAACTGACAGGACTTACTATATTTCAAGGAGTATATGATATTTATCAAAGACACACATTGTGAAGATTATATTTGTCTAGTCTTTTGACAAACAAGGTCAACGATAAAAAATAAGATCTCCATCCAGGCCTACAGGTATATAAAGGCTCGTTGATTAATCATTCACTGTCTTTGATATTTCTTTAGGGACTTTTCAGGCAAAGTCAAGCAATCAAGAACAGGTTTCCATCCAGGGCCACAGGTACACCAAGACTCGAGGAGCATATGCTCATTGTCTTTTGTATGCTTCTAGTGCCTTCCGTCCAGGTCAAGCATCAGGGATCCGATCAGAGTCCACGGTTATCAGGTATATCAAAACTCGATGAGCAGTTACTCATTTGTTTTTGTATATTTGTAGTATCCATTCCATCCAGGTCAAGCTTCAAGGTTCACGTCAAGGTCCACGGTTTTCAGATCGAGGTCCACGGTTTCAGGTATATCAAAACTAGATGAGTAGTTACTCACTTGTTTTTGTATATTTGTAGTATCCATTCCGTCCAGGTCAAGCATCAGGGATCCGATCAGAGTCCACGGTTATCAGGTATATCAAAACTCGATGGGCATTTACTCACTTGTTTTTGTATATTTCTAGTATCCATTCCATCCAGGTCAAGCTTCAAGGTTCAGGTCAAGGTCCACGGTTTTCAGATCAAGTTCCACGGTTTCAGGTATATCAAAACTCGATGGGCAGTTACTCACTTGTTTTTGTATATTTCTAGTGTCCATTCCATCCAGGTCAAGCTTCAAGGTTCAAGTCAAGGTCCACCGTATCAGGTATATCAAAACTCGATGGGCATTTACTCACTTGTTTTTATATATTTGTAGTATCTATTCCATCCAGGGCAAGCTTCAAGGTTCAGGTCAAGGTCAGCGGGTTCAGGTCGAGGTCCACGGTTTCAGGTATATCAAAACTCGATGAGCAGTTACTCATTTGTTTTTGTATATTTGTAGTATCCATTCCATCCAGGTCAAGCTTCAAGGTCCAGGTCAAGGTCCACGGTTATCAGGTATATCAAAACTCGATGGGCATTTACTCACTTGTTTTTGTATATTTGTAGTATCCATTCCATCCAGGTCAAGCTTCAAGGTTCACGTCAAGGTCAGCGGGTTCAGGTCGAGGTCCACGGTTTCAGGTATATCAAAACTCGATGAGCAGTTACTCATTTGTTTTTGTATATTTCTAGTATCCATTCCATCCAGGTCAAGCTTCAAGGTCCAGGTCAAGGTCCACGGTTTTCAGGTATATCAAAACTCGATGAGCAGTTACTCACTTGTTTTTGTATATTTCTAGTATCCATTCCATCCAGGTCAAGCTTCAAGGTCCAGGTCAAGGTCCACGGTTTCAGGTATATCAAAACTCGATGGGCAGTTACTCACTTGTTTTTGTATATTTCTAGTGTCCATTCCATCCAGGTCAAGCTTCAAGGTTCAGGTCAAGGTCCACGGTTTTCAGATCAAGTTCCACGGTTTCAGGTATATCAAAACTCGATGGGCATTTACTCACTTGTTTTTGTATATTTTTAGTATCCATTCCGTCCAGGTCAAGCTTCAAGGTTCAGGTCAAGGTCCACGGTTTTCAGATCAAGTTCCACGGTTTCAGGTATATCAAAACTCGATGGGCAGTTACTCACTTGTTTTTGTATATTTCTAGTGTCCATTCCATCCAGGTCAAGCTTCAAGGTTCAGGTCAAGGTCCACGGTTTTCAGATCAAGTTCCACGGTTTCAGGTATATCAAAACTCGATGGGCAGTTACTCACTTGTTTTTGTATATTTCTAGTGTCCATTCCATCCAGGTCAAGCTTCAAGGTTCAGGTCAAGGTCCACGGTTTTCAGATCAAGGTCCACGGTTTTCAGGTATATCAAAACTCGATGAGCAGTTACTCACTTGTTTTTGTATATTTCTAGTATCCATTCCATCCAGGTCAAGCTTCAAGGTTCAGGTCAAGGTCCACGGTTTTCAGATCAAGGTCCACGGTTTTCAGGTATATCAAAACTCGATGAGCAGTTACTCACTTGTTTTTGTATATTTCTAGTATCCATTCCATCCAGGTCAAGCTTCAAGGTTCAGGTCAAGGTCCACGGTTTTCAGGTATATCAAAACTCGATGAGCAGTTACTCACTTGTTTTTGTATATTTCTAGTATCCATTCCATCCAGGTCAAGCTTCAAGGTTCAAGTCAAGGTCCACCGTTTCAGGTATATCAAAACTCGATGGGCATTTACTC